GCATGGCGAGGAAAGACCGCAGGGGGGCTTACTGAAGCGTATTTTCAGCGGGCGCGGACGGAACCCCTCGAGGGCGGCTGGAGGAGGGAGCAAATATAGGGCTCATAGGACATCGCCTTGAGCTTCAACGTGGGCAAACCAAAGGCAAAAAGGAGGAAGTAAAGAAGGCGAAGAATCAGCGGCAAGTTGTAAAACGCCTGTAGCAATATTGTGTTTCGAAGGGTTCTTTAAGACACCATTAGTCGGCGGGGGGTAGGGAAAAGTCTCATATTTTAGCAACCCTTTACATTGGAAGGGTTTTTTTTTTTTTTTTTTTTTTTTTTTTTTTCTTTTTTTTTCTTTTAGGTAGCTGGACGAACGCATGGGGAAATAAATGGAAAGAGGGATCGGGAATCTGGTTCTTTACTAGAAAGCTAAGTTGGCCTGGCTGGTCCGGGCTTGTCTTGACTGTCTTACTACGATTCCGAGCAAATTGATGAGTTTACGATATCTGGAATGGGGGTGCTTGGAGTGTAGGTATCTAGATGTACCTATCTAGTATTTAGGGATTTGAGGGTATAATACGTACGTGGCTGGAACGTATATGCTTGGGTGCGTTAATCTGAATGAATGTTCGCCGTCGTATTGCGGCATACTAAAATTCTTCGCCCCTTAGATGTGAGAGACTCACGTGTCTACAACTCATGAGACTCGCAATACTAAGGTGAAATCCATATACAGCCCTTTAATATCACTGGCATTTCCTTTAAATCTTGGATCTAGATAGATAGACCTGGGCGGACGGTAACGATGCCAACGATGATGCTGAAGATGGAGAAGAATCGGAACCATCGGTGATCTACCCTTAGCTCAAAGTAGCTTGCTCAGTTTCATTAACCATATCAATGCTTCACTTTGCTCGCCGTAATTGTAATTATCGAGTTTCCATGGCCTACGGTACATGTCTTTGCCACCTAACTTCAACACAACGAATTCCTTCGCAATCTTTTCAAAATTCCTGAAACTGTCGAAACAGCTTGCGCCAGCGCGATTACCCTCCCTGCCGTGGTGACGACCGTTCTGATTCTAGAACCCCTCGTGACGCCTATCGTTCCAACTTGCTCGAACGCATACGGTTCAACTCTGATAGCGCTTCCTGGGTCCGCGGATGTTCAGGTCCTAGAACTCGATTATATCCTTCGGCACATTCCTCCATCAATTTGACAGCATCATCTATGCGGCCACGCGATTCATAGATAAGCGCCATTTTGGTTATCGTTTCCAGCGTGTCGGGATGCTCTATACCTAATATCCTCTTACGTGCTTCTACCACACGTACTTGCAGCTCTTCGGCTTCTTCAAATCGTTCTTGCCTCCAATAGATCGATGCTAATTTATGCATGCTAGCCAGCGTGTCGGGATGGTCTGGACCCATTACCTCTTTCCTAGTTGCTAGCTCTTGTAAGAACAGCGACTCGGCCTCCTTATAAAAACCAAGCTCAAAATCAATTACACTTAGGAGCGATGATGCGTTTAACGTATGCTTACTGTCTTCACCGCATATTTTCTTGAATGCCGGCAGCGCTTCCTCCGCCATCTTTCTCGCTGTCGCAAGTCTAGCTTGGTGAAATGCATAATACCCGCCCTTGAGTAAAACCAAGGCCCAATGCTTTAATGATTCTTCGTGTTTCGGGCGGTGATTTAGAGCGATTTCGACGTGGGCGAAGAGTCTCCGACAAGTTTCCCAATTTTCATATATTCCTCCATGTGGAAAGGCTCGAGCCATCCGAGCGAGGTAGGCTTGTTTGAATACCTCATGGTCTCCGTACGCAGCCAGCCACTTCGCAGTGGACAACTGGACTAATGCATGCATCTCAAAGACGTGCCCCGTTTCGTTTGTCTTGATCAAGCAGTACTTTCTAAGCGTTGCTATGTCGTCTTCAAATACCTCATTGAGATCACGACTAGAACCAGTAGCCTCGTCACCTGTGGTTTCCGCCTCATCATCTTCACGTGAGATGTTGAAATGGCCTGTATTCTCATCGTCTGTATATTTTCCATTTCCAGGCCCGTTTAACCCGACGGGACGAATCAAGTCATCTGGAATACTCTGGCAATTGAAAAAAACTCATTAGTGAGAGCAGATCGGATGCGGATCCTCTTTCGGAACGAATGTGATCAAATGAGATCTGACATGTAGTAATGATTGAGTTTGACGCGCTCCTATCTCTTCGAAGGTCGCTTGCATCGAAACCCAAAAGGCTCGACTTATTTTTGTCGGTTTATCGAAACTTATCGAGATACTTAAGATAGCTACAGACATTCGCGGCCACCTTTGCTGTATGTAGGCACCGGCCTGACTGATAGCCAGGGGTATGCACTCTAGCTCCTTTACAAGCTCGGATCCTGCGTCCATATCTGGGTCATCTCCACACCTCGTTGCAAGAAGCGTAAGAGCATGGCTGGGGTCCATTGGCCCAACGTCGATAATATTCTTGTGGTCTCCCGTTAGCCTCCAAGCCAGCTCCCTGTTTCTTGTGGTAACGAGGATTGACCCATTTGCGCTTTGCGGCAGATATGTCCATATAGGCCTTTCCTCGTCATCGGAAGAGGCTGTCTGTCCTGCATTTTTGGTGTCATAGAATACGTTGGGGTCATCGGCGCTATCCAATACCATGAACCACTTGCCATTATGTTCGTTGGACAGCCAGTGTTCGACGAGTTGCAAGACGTTTGCCCCGGTTGATTCCGGCCGGAAAGCTTGAGTACGTCTGCAATTGTTTTGAAGCTCTCTTGAACCCGTGCCTTCGTGCTGCCATGTATCCAAAATAACCAAATCTCTTGATTTTCTCGAGATGCGCGGTCCTTCACCCGATAAGCATATTCAATAGCGAGCTGCGACTTGCCCACACCACCTAATCCTACGAGTGCAGCCCGCGAGGCTGGCCCGGAGCATGCTCGCTTGATCCGTTGGACAAGGTCTCCCCGTTCCACGAAGTTAGTATCGCGGCAAAAGGGAACGGTAGACGTCGGCTTTGGCGTCGTTTCGGAATGTTCTTCTTTGAAACCAAGAGGTTAGCTGAGACTCGAGACTCGGAGGGAAAATCATGTGGGCTTTGCGGCACTTCAGGGGGGTTCCTTACCGGAAGGCAAGTGGATGTTGGCCGTTATAGGCCCACTGTTCTGCCCCACTTGCAAGCCGTGATTATGAGCAATCCTCGAGTGGTTCGGCATTGTGGGAAAGCTATGACTGCATTTCAAAGGTGGTTTGAAGGCTGGGAAAGACTGGAGATTAGGGAGGTTTGAAAGAGATTTTCTCTCAACTCCGCCCTCAAAACGACGAATGAGGCTTCTCATGCACGTGAGGATAACCAGCCTCGATACGTCTGGGACTGCAATCAGCTACATATTTAGTATGTAGAATGGCTGAAATCCTCGAGTCTAGTTGGCTAAAACGTGCCCACATGATCCTGCAAAGCGTGTACCAATCTTAACCTGAATTGTGGTTGGTCGTACCCTGGTAAATACGCCTGACGCCGTAGCTAGGTGCCTAGGTAGCTGGCAGATATCGCAAGGCTCTCAGCAACCTGCCTACCACCTCCATTCTCTCTATTACATGCCAATTGTCATGACTGATCCATTCAGTATCGTCACCGGCACTGTTGGTGTGCTCGCACCAGCAATCCACTGGACACGGCTCCTATTCGAAGATCTTCAGAATATTTCTGATGCGCCAGCAGTTGTCGAGGCTCTCAAAGGGGACCTTCTTTCGGTGAAAATGACACTGGAATCCCTCCAAGGAGTCACGGAAGCAGAGTGGGCTACTCTCGCTGGACGAGGCACTCCAACAGCAGTGGAAGATTGTCGTGGCAAGACCGAGCAACCGAGGGATTCTTGAAACAGAAACGCATCAAGTCCATGTCAGAGCAGCTTCAGAAATACCAGATCACCCTTAACTTGGTGATTAGCACGGCGACCCTGTCAGTATACTTCCTCTAGAACTAGAATGGATGGCTGGGGTCTAATGAACGAGCTAGGCACTGCTCTATTCACAGCAAACCCATCTCTCGAGAGACCAAAGACGCCATCACCGAGCAGGAGGCAGAGATTACCCGCTCCATTGTTACGACAGACCGACAGCTCGCCACAGTGGATTATCAACTAAACTCCCTAGTTAGTGGTAGAGCGGACGATGACGAAGGAACTGGTGAGCACGAGGTAATGGAGAATGAACGGGCGGCATTCCAGGAATCCTTAAAGTTACTTAAGGAGTTAAAGGCAAGGAACGAAGCCGAAGCGAGGAGAGTTGCCAAAGAGGAGCAGAAAAATTTGACGCAGATATCATTCGGAAACAATAACGCTGGCTTCCAGTTAGGGACCAACAACGGATCCATCTCTGGTATCACTTTTTGCAGCCGGAATTGATAAGCGGCTCAGAGAGGCTCCTGGTACATGGCAAACAGAAGGCATTGAAGGTGTCATGACCGCCTGATTAATGGGGTCGCGAACAGCCAGAGAGTTTATCGTCCGCGGTGTCTTCGTACTTTTCATGTTGATGACATGGATATTAGGACTGGATCTTCTTGATTTTCCTTTAGACGATGTTGTAGATTCTAGGTAAGTTTTACGGTTTTGAATGGATGCTATTACAAAACTCCCATGTGAGGCATAGCTGCCCCGCCATTAGGATCTGCTAGCGTACCCAGAGAGAGCGTCTAGCGCCATTCGTCCTTTGTACAGTGTCAAGCCGGTGACCTTTTTGCGGGGACAGGTTCGAAAGTATGCAAATTATTTGAGCATTATTATTTTGTCACCCGTTTGAGTGTATCGCCTAGTGGACGAAACAGCGTAGAAAATGCTCATGGATGCCCATCTACCTGATTCAACAGTATCTAGTAGCTAGCGAGAACACAACAAGCGCCTAATATGTTACACTAATTGATTTCCTACCACCTGAAGCTACCGAGTCCGTTGGTATGTAGCCACCCACAAAACAGAAAATGATGCAAAAATATATATTCTCCCTCGGACCGGAATCGAACCGGTGACTTTTCGGTGACTATAATCTGCCCGCCGTCTGGAATCCAACCCAGACGACATGATGAACTCTTACAGCCGAACGCCATAACCAACTAGACTACCAAGGGCGGCCTTTCAAAAGCGAATCACCCTAGAGTGGGCTCTAGAGCGAGGGACGGCTTGATACGAGAGAACTTTCCGTTGAGGTTTTTGTTTTCGATGGTGGTTCGTCTAAGTGGAGCAGTAAAACTACCTGTATTGCGATGTGGATACGACTCGGCCGCTATGAGTAGATGGGACTCGCAGAGTAAAAACCGGGACATAAAGGTCTTCCAACAATTTCACGAATCACTAGTGACAGTCTTTGCGTGTGCGCTCAGAAGTGATCCGGCCGAGAGTAGACGAACGTCGAATGTGCCCTGGACGAGTGGCAGAAGATAGGTACGTATGCTCTAACTCAGTTCATAATATTCGAATCGGTCAACGACACGGTATATAGACCGTTGTACCAACATACGGTAGCTGCTTCCACCACATAGGTTGGACAGCCTCAGCATCACGGAAGCCGTTCGGATCTCTTGGAGAAAACTTTCTCTGGAGTAGACTCATGTTCGGGGAACATGTGATAATATTGCCACTCAGTCTCATAATATTGTCGGTACCAAATTGCCCCCGAATATTGGATTAGCAGCTATTGTTCTACAACATCAAAAGACCTCCATAGAGCGCTCAGCATGTGTGGGCGCCACTTTGAAAAGACGTTGGGATTCTCGTTACACTACCGACGACGCAGAGCTCATAGGTCAGGAAGAAGTCCGGGCACGAGAGGCGGAAGCACACGTCCGACTCCCTTTAGCATGCTGCCATCACATTGTAGCCCAACAGATCATGTTCCACGAGCCAAGTACACCAACGCGGGAAATCCAAACCAACGACGAGGCAATTTGAAAGACCTTACTAAAGGATGTACGACAGTGTGAATTTGCCTCATCCAGTACACATACACACGGCACAGACAGACTTCAGGGAAAATAAGTTGGATCGATAGCTTAGGTAGCTAGCTGTTATTCCAGCCGGATTCAAGTAGTAATCGTTAGCGATTCATTGTTGGAGTAACAAAGTTTGCAACTCTGGGAGACTGGAAATGCATATTAATGGAAGGCAGAACGAGTTGCAAAACTGTGGCTGGAGAGTGCATAACGCCGGCGTAGCCGGTATAGAAGTAATGCATCCATTTGAATACTTCAGGAGGTCCGGTCCGAACGTACCCCTTCGACACGGATGATATGATCTGTGGCTTATGGCTCGGTGTGCGGCGATTGCGTATCACACGTACAAGACCTAATCTAGCCGCTAGGCTGCAGTGTCTCGGCGCTTTGGAGGTCAGCCTTTGTCTCGGCATGCCGGTCTTGGGAATAGCTGATCGCATCTTCCCGCACCCCTCAGTCCGGCTGCAGCTTGAAAGTCACAAGTTCTGCAGGGTGTTCATGGCAGGCCGTTGGTGCGTCTGTGACGGTCCAGAACTGCAGGGTCTACAAAAGGCTGAGCTGTCGCAGCGGATGAGATCTCGACGGGAGCCCCTGGAACCATGTTAAATGGGACGTTAATTCCAGCTTGATTGGCCACAGGCACGTACGAGTCGCTAGCCTCTCAGCTGGCGGCCTCACCATAACCTCGTTACTCAACGCTGGGGAAACGGTGTAAGATTTAGTTGAGGGTGGTTTAGACGGTGGCCGTAGTTTGCCCTTAACGGGCTCTCGACGCACTTGGCAAGGCTGTTGTTGCTCGGACGGCATTGGTATCCACCTTGCAATAAATTTCCCGTCACCTGGGAACACAATAAATGCACGTGGGGCACTTGTCTATAATCCAAAGCCCTATTGCGATGCAGGTTTCAAGTGATAGGCTGGGAATGATTGTAGGCGGTGCGTATGGATGTGGTCGGAATTGAATCCATGGTGCAAGGCGGCAAGGGAACTGGAACCGAAGGAATGGCCGCTTATATTTCGGGAATTAGAGCACGGATCATGCATGTGTGTTTAAACGCTATGACCTCTTACGTAGTGGCTTTCAAGGTTCCAGCCTTTAGTGTATTTCAGGTAGCGATGACGGAGCCTGCGGAGCCTCGTTTAGGTTCAACCGAAGTTATCTGGCAACAGCAACTTGAGAACACTTCAATTGCTTGGGGCTACAACTCAATTGAAGAGACTTGAGCTTCATGAACGTTTCACAGAAGCATTGGAAGTGAAAATTCTTCAAAGCCAACTGAGAGTTTTCAATAATTTGCGAGGTGAATATAATGGTGTCCCCTTAGCCGTCAGGGATCTCATTTGAAGAAACAAATTGGGGTAAGGGCACCTGACCGTTTGGACCGGGATGACCTTCCCGAAGTAGTATTCCGTAAGCCAAGATGGGTAAGGCGTGACCTCGTTACCCCTCATTTTTACTCGTCGTGCTTGTCTTTGGAAGGCGGCCAAGGAGGGTCCTATGCAACTTATATGCAGTTGACGGCGTGAGAGGGAGGCGGCTTCGCACAATGAACAACTCATTCCTCATTAGAAGAATGGTGATTTGCTGTCCGGGTACCTCCTCCCGTTAGGTAATCTAGGTACCTGACCCTACGTGCATTCCAATTCCTACGACCTTTGAAAATTTTGAATCCAATGCCCATGCAATCTCATGCAATCTCATGCAATCCAATCCCCTTGGTCAATTGAGCCTGCCAATGTTTTAAAGTCTTGAAGGTTGAATTTTAAGTTCGGGGTAGCTGCTGACTCTTATAATTCTTTGACACAGAGTCAAATGATATTTCAAATTCTCTTCTAAACTCCCCCTGTTAGTACATTCCTAGTTTGGTCCACTTCCCACGCGTTGCCCGCCCACCCCGCGTTAGCGGCAAAAAAAATAAAAAAAGAATTAACAAATTTTCCACAGAGAGACCTCTCCCACCAATTCCCAACTCATACCCTCTTATCGCTATTAGCCCAGACCCCTCCAATTGTTCAATTCCGTGATCGGTCTCGGACCTCGACGCAGACCACAGCTGAGCAATCTCAGCCTCGGCCGGTATAACGGCACGGAGCTCTACGGAGGAAGTAATTGCCTCAATCCCACGGCCTGTCACATCTGTCACCTTGGATCCGCTTGATATAATTTGTCAATTGAAGAGTGCATGGATGGTCACACAGTTGTCGGCGCCGTTTCGGCCCCGTCCACGAGCCCAACCAGCCCTGTGAGCGTACATCGCCATGGCTCCATGAAGCGAAAGCGCAGCGAAGGGGCAGTCGGAGTCGATAGCAGTCCAGGAAGCGCTATCGGCGAGGAAGACCACTCTCTAGCCGAGCCCGAAAAGAAGAGACAACCCGGCGTGAAGCGGTATGTAGCCGAAATATAATATACCTAACTGACTCATACTGCATTGTGCCCTTAACCCTTAAATATATACAGCATTGCGCTAATAAATTTTCGGCAGAGCGTGCAACGAGTGTAGGCAGCAGAAACTGAGGTGCGATGTTGTCCAAGAACCGTTTCAGAGTTGTTCGAGGTGTAATCGTCTAAAGCTCGAGTGCAAGATCGAGTCCAACTTCAAGCGCATAGGCAAGAGGTCAAAACATGCCGAGATGGAAAAGGAGATCGACCGGTTACGGCGCAAGATAGCACAGGCTAAGGCGCAGGGTTTTGTAATGGACGATGATGAAGACCTGCAATCTCAATTGCAATCCCCCGTCGCAAATAGTGCGTATTCGCATACCCGAAATCCTTCGCTCATGGGGTCCGATGAGGCTGTCACTTCCCTTCTGACTCTAAAGCGAGGAGGGTCGTATAGCTTGGCCGCAACCCATTATGCCTACGAGCTTGAGACAGTGCGGCTGACCGAGCAGGATGTCCATGGTTTATTTCAGGAATTCTTCACCTGTTACCACCCATTTCTCCCTTTCTTAAACGAGCATCAGTCACCTGACCTTTACTATCAACAACATGCCTTGCTGTTCTGGACAATCATAGCCATAGCTTCGCGGCGTTATCATCCAAAACCTAGTATCCTGCACGAGCTGTCTAGCGGGCCCCTAAATAGATTGCTATGGGGTACTGTAGGCGATGTACCGAATAGTTACTTTGTCGTCAAGGCCCTTTGTCTATTATGTACTTGGCCATTGCCGACTAGCACGACGACAGCGGATCCGACTCATATACTATGCGGTGTGATGATGAAAGCCGCCACAGGCATCGGCCTACACCGACCGAATCATACTCAGGATTTCTCCCGCGTATCCGTTGAGCTCAACAAGGACCAACTTCATGACCGAGTAACCACTTGGGCCGTATGCAACATCGTTGCGCAGTCAATCGGAACGGGTTATGGGCAGCCCGCTACTACGCTCTATGACTGGACCCTAGCTATCCGCCCTGGAGAAGATGGACCTTTCACGCTGTCCCCCGAACTCGAGGCTAGGCTGAGGATAGAGAGGTTCTGCGACAAAGTCTCGAAAGAGATGTACAGCAACGCGAGCGATCCTAGGGGAGTGGCCGGAGACGAGCACAGAGCGATGCTGATGCGGGTCTATCGTCGGGACTTCCAGGAACTACAAGCTTCGATCCTTTCCCAGCGTCTATCGCCCATTGTGGAGGTCCACCTAACGGCTGCCAACGTCCACCTCCGTCTCGCCGGATTCTTTGACTCCAGCAGCACTCCCGGTTACATGGACGATCTTATGGGCCTATGGCGAGCTATCACAAGTTTTCTGGACCTTCTATTTCAAGATTCGAATCAGCATATCTTACTGTATGCCACTAATTACATCCAGCAGATGCTCGTTGCTGCCGGCTTCGCTTTGTTGAAGTTGATGAGGTCGTTCTTTGCAAAGACGATAGAATTCGAAAGAGGACGGACTCTGTTTCATAAGACCATCCAAGCGATACGCTCGACAAGTGTGTTAGATAATGATCTCCAATGGAGGTTAGCGGAGCTCATGGTCCAGATGTGGAATGGTGCGCGAATCGACAAGAACAACACCTCATTTCACGATGATGACAACTCGGTCCTTATTGACGATAGCCTACAATTAAAGGTACGATGTAGGCATAGCATGAGCCTTGTGTTCGACTCTATCTGGCGCTGGAGGGAAGA